CAAAGTGATGGTTGTCAGAGCAGCGAGGGTGGGGAAATGGGTAAAATGGGTGAAGGGAAGTGGGAGATACAGGCTTCCTGATATGGAATAGATAAGTCATAGTTGTAAAAGATACAGCATAGGAAATATAGTCAATGATATTGTAATAGTGTTGTACAGTGATAGATGGTGAGCATACATTTGTGGTGAACATAGCATAACGTATAGAGTTATTGAATCACTGTGTTGTACACCTGAAACTAATGTAACATTGTGTGTCGACTGCAATAAAAAAATTTTTGTATAAAAGAAATTAAGTATTAATACATGCTACACATGGCTGAACCTCAAAAACACACTAAATGTAAAAAAGGAAGACACAAGATACCACACAGTATATGACTTTATATGAAACATAAAAAAAAAAACCTTCAAATCTATAGAGACAGATTGGCACATGAAATAGGAGATGAGAACAGAGATTAAACATCAAACAGGTATGCAGGGTCTAAGTAGGGTGATCAAAATGCTCCAAAATGGTTTATGGTAATGGCTGCACAAGTTGGCAGGTTTACTAAAATATATTTAGTAAAATATACCTTATATTATCAAATGCATTCCTGCAGTGTGTCAAAAGGATGATACACTATGACCAGGAAAGTCTTGTTCCAGAAATATAAGAATGATTGAGTTTCAGGAAATCTGTCAAAATAATTATTATGTCAGTAACTTAAAGGTGAAAAAGCCATATGATCATGTCAATGGATGTATAAAGGGCATTCAGAAAGAATGTAGGAACCATTCTTAGTTTTAAAATGATGACGTAAAATAGGAAGAGATGAAAACAGCCTAAATATAATAAAATTACTAGATGCTGTATTGACTTTCATCCTTAATAGTCATACACTACAACTGTATCAGTTCAAACCAGAAACAGGGGTACTCTGTTTCATCCTTATTATTTAACATTGCTTTGAACGTTTTAGCAATTGTAATAAGAAAATAAAAATGAAGTAATTGGCATACATATTAGAAATGTCCACTATCCCTGTTTGGTGATGATTATGATAATGATATTATGCCTAATAACTAGAGTGATATATGGGAATGTTGTAAAATAGTAGATTATAAACAAATATACAATAACCAAAGATTTGTCTCTCCTCTAGCAAAATATATGCAAAATGAAAATTTAAAAATCCCTTCCCAGTAGCAATAAAAATCAATTATGTAATATGTATATTAAATATGTGTATTTAATAAAAGAAAGGCATAAGACCTATATGAAGAAAGGTATACAACAAATGGTAAGGCTTCCTAAATGGAAAGACTTGATGTCATAAAAATGTAAATTCTTCCAAAATTAATAAATAATTTAATGAAGTTCATAATAGAATTCCAACAGGATCGAGATGGTGAAGGGGAATTAGATAAATATATCTTAAGCTTATATGAAAAGTAAACACTCAAAAACAGTCAAGAAAACTATGAAAATGAACAGTAGTGGTATATTTATTTATTTATTTTTTTTAATTTTTTTTTTCAACGTTTTATTTATTTTTTTTGGGACAGAGAGAGACAGAGCATGAACGGGGGAGGGGCAGAGAGAGAGGGAGACACAGAATCGGAAACAGGCTCCAGGCTCTGAGCCATCAGCCCAGAGCCTGACGCGGGGCTCGAACTCACGGACCGCGAGATCGTGACCTGGCTGAAGTCGGACGCTTAACCGACTGTGCCACCCAGGCGCCCCTATTTATTTATTTTTTAATATATTGTTGTTGTTGTTTTAACATTTCTTTATTTTTGAGACAGGGAGAGACAGAGCATGAACAGGGGAGGGTCAGAAAGAGAGGGAGACACAGAATCCGAAACAGGTCCCAGGCTCTGAGCTGTCATTACAGAGCCTGACGCGGGGCTCGAACTCACCAACCGCAAGATCATGACCTGAGCCAAAGTCGGATGCTTAACCGACTGAGCCACCCAGGTGCCCCAGTAGTGGTATATTTAAATAAAAAAATCAGAATATGTCATAAAGACACTAAAAAATTATGGTATCAGAATAGTAATAGATCAATGGAAAAGACTAAAGATTCAGAAAACAGGTCTCATATATCTTGAGATGTATTTTTGAGAATGTAATGTATAACCAAGTTTCCATTTACTTGGAAATGGAGGGGATTGTTTAATAAATGGTGCTAGTACTGAATTGGCCATCCACCTGGAAGGAGATTAAAATATTCCTCAACTCATACTCTATATAAAAATTAATTTCACATGGATCAATAGCCCAAGTGAAAGAAATACAGTAATATAGGGGTAGGGAGGTGGATGTAGAAACAAGCACAAAAAGAAAAGAAATGCATTTTTTAAAAGGCAGGATGAAACCATATCTATACCTTTGCATAAAATTATATAAGTTAAAAAAATGGGATTTAGTGAAGCATAAGGGATTTAAATTCCTTTAGGATAATCACCATTTAGAGTTCTCTTCCACCTAAGAAATTGGTAAGTTGTTTTTGCTGTTGTTCTTTGAGCACTGTATAGGGAGTTCAGGTAAACGCAGTCATTAGTCAACTTCTATTTATAATTATTCTTCTTCAGTTAAAATTATTTCTAATTGAAGAAGTAATGGCACAAAAACAGACACTCAGATCAATGGAACAGAATAGAGAATGAACCCAGAAATGGACCCACAAATGTATGGCCAACTAATCTTTGACAAAGCAGGAAAGAATATCCAATAGAATAAAGACAGTCTCTTCAGCAAGTAGTGCTGGGAAAACCGGACAGCGACATGTAGAAAAATGAACCTGGATCACTTTCTTACACCATACACAAAAATAAACTCAAAATGGATGAAAGACCTCAATGTAAGACAGGAAGCCATCAAAATCCTCGAGGAGAAAGCAGGCAAAAACCTCTTTGACCTTGGCCACAACAACTTCTTACTCAACATGTCTCTGGAGGCAAGGGAAACAAAAGCAAAAATGAACTATTGGGATCTCATCAAAATAAAAAGCTTCTGCACAGCAAAGGAAACAATCAGCAAAACTAAAAGGCAACCGACAGAATGGGAGAAGATAGTTGCAAATAACAATCAGATAAAGGGTTAGTATCCAAAATCTATAAAGAGCTGATCAAACTCAACACCCAAAAAACAAATAATGCAGTGAAGAAATGGGCAAAAGACGTGAGTAGACACTTCTCCAAAGAAGACATCCAAATGGCTGACAGACACATGAAAAAATGCTCCACATCATTCATCATCAGAGAAATACAAATCAAAACCACAATGAGATACCACCTCACACCTATCAGCATGACTAACATTAACAACTCAGGCAACAACGGATGTTGATGAGGATGCCGAGAAAGAGGATCTCTTTTGCATTGCTGGTGGCAATGCAAGCTGATGCAGCCACTCTGTAAAACAGTATGGATGTTCCTCAAAAAATTAAAAATAGAACTACCCACGACCCAGCAATTGCCCTACTTGGCATTTATCCAAGGGATAGAGGTATGCTCTTTTTTTTTTTTTTTTT